TATCTCTTCCTCCTTCCTGGTAAATATCAAATCTAGCATGGAGGGAACGTCCCCCTCCCTCATCCTCGTAGCTTGTTTAACATGTTGATACAAGAATGTTTCCAGGATGAGGTCTACAAATTTACAGGTCCAAAAATCTTCTGTTTTAGCTTCATATGCTTCCCAGTCTATGGATTTCAAGTTGAAGTCACCGACTATCAACAGTCGTGATCTATCGTTATCCGCTCTCGCTATAATCTCTCTCATTATTGTTATAAGACCTTCTCTTTTACTATCTAGCTCCTCCTTTGACCATGTGTTGCTTGGTGGTGGACTATATGCATTTATTATCATTAGTTATGTGTGTGTAACATACCTTGTGTGTATTTGTATATACATGATATGTATATATGTGTATGTGTACTTTTTCTTTCGGAAGGGGCTCTGTTCCCTTCTCTGTTGACAGGGTGCTGGGGGAGCAGCTTGCTCTGTTGACTCTCGTATGGGCCTGCTGTTGGTGGGTGCTTTTGGTTGTCTTCCGGCCTCTGGTGGCGGCGGTGGACGGCTTCTCCCCCTTTGGGGGGTTCAGAGCTGGCAGGGTGAGCTTCTTTCCCTGCGCTTCGTCACGTCATCTTGGTGGGTGCGTTGGGCGTGGTCGATCCGCCCCATCCTTCTGGGGTTCCCATCTGCTCTTTGCAGACATGGGCCTTTCGAATCTGCGGTTCTTCTGGACTTCTTCAGTCTGTGCCCTGGTTTATATGCCCTCCTCGGAGGACTGTTGTCTCCTGTCCAGCTTCTGTTGGGGCCGGGTGCCTGGATGGTGGCCCCTGGAACTCCAGGTCAATTATTGGCACTTGGTGTATTTTTGCATCTTTACTGGATCTTGGTGCCCTGTCTGAGTCTGCTTGAGATTCGGTGTCTGGCCTACCTTGACGACTGGCTGGTGTGGGCTTCCAGTCGGTCCGCTTGTCTGCTCGCCAGGGGTGTGGTTCTTTCTAGATCGCTGGGTTTGGTTTCTTGGTGATCTGGAGGCCATTCCATCTGTTTCTGTCCCAGATTCGGACCTGGGCCTTGTTTAGGGCTATTAGGCCACTCTTTGTCTTTCCCCTACTGAAGTCTTACTGCGGCTGTGGTCCCGCCTTCGGCTGTTCGTGAGGGGGTCCCGGGTTGCTCGAGCGGTTGTGCGGGAGTCTGAACTTCGACGTGCTTGTCTGCCCGCTGGGTCGGGTTTGGCTTCGGCATCTGTTTGGTTCCTTCGGAGACTCCCCTTCCGCCTCTTGCAATCGTTGGGTTCGTTCCTCCGGGGATCTTGTTTTGGTGCTGCGTCACCAGCTTCCTCTTTGGGGTTTTCGGGGTTCCGTGCCTTGGCACCTCCCCGAGCCTTTGCTCGATGTGTTCACGGACGGGTCATCTCTCAGCTGGGGCTTGGTGACTAGTGCTCACCAGGTCGGCCGGGGATGGTGGAGTCTGTCCGTCCGTCGAGCTCACAGCACGGTTTAGGAGTTCGTGGCTGTCTGGTTTGCGCTTCGGAGGGTTTGGGTCACTCGGTGCTCTACCATTCAGCTCCATTCAGACTGTTCTCTTGCAGTTCTTGCCGGAACCACAGGATTTCTCTTAGGTGTTGACCTTTGGGGTTGGTTCCTTAGAGTGGCTCGTTTGCTGGATTCTCGGGGTTTGGCTAACCGTGAGATTCATGTCCGGGGTGTGTCCTGTGTCCTGGCGGACAGCTGTCTCAGTTCATTCCTCTGTTCACGGATTGGCCAGTCGTCGCCGACTCGTTTTGTTGGCTCTGCCGGACATATGGACTCCTGGCCATGGACGTCTTCGAGTCGGCGTGGGCTAGGCGTCGCCCATTTTATGTGGCGCCCTACCCACCTGCGAGGCGTTCACGTTGGATGTTTTTCGGCAGACTGGTCGAGGTGGGGGTACCTGTTCCTCTTCTCCCGGTCCAGCTGTTGCTTCGGGTTCTGGCTCGGTTGCAGCCCATCCCGCGAGAGCAGTCCTTATGGTTCCTTGGTGGCCAGCCCAGTTTTCTTTTCAAACGCTGCTTGATAGGTGTCCGAACCTATCAAGCATGTTTTCCAGCGGCTCCGCCTCTTTCAGCAGGTCAGATCAGTCCTGTACGTGACTGGTTCGGCCTTCTCGTCGGCTCTTCACGTCTGGTATTTTGACGTGGGTACCACCATCTCTGTGGTGTTCAGGTGGCCTTGTTGACGGTGTCCCACCTGTGAGCTTCGTCTTGGCGACAGTATGACGTTCTTGGTGTTTCTATGCACTTTTTCTTGCTCTTTGTACGTTGTCTTCTCTTTCGCATCGGGTTGTCTTGCTCTTTCTTGGGTTTTCAGGACTATGGTTATTTGTTGTTTCTTACTGTTGCCTCTTTTGTGTGGCGCTGTCGGAGCCGCTCCAGCTTGCATTCAGGGTGGACGTCACATCTGCCCCGTTTCGTACGCTTTCTCGTGTTTTGTTTCACCTCCGGCCTGCTCATGCGTCGCCTGCGCCGTCCTGGTCCTTGATCAGGGTGCCTTCTTATCTTCTCAGTTTGTGGTAGCCCCTTCGATTCAGGTTTCTGCTCTTTGGTACTGGTGGTAGATTTGTAAGTGTTCAGCCTCTCTCCGTCCTGGCGACGGCTTGATTGGTTTGGCCGGGGGTACGGTGTTGTCCGGTTGCGCTTTTTGCCGTTACCTGCGTTGTCTGGGGATTGGTTTGATCCGCCCCTCGTTCCCTGAGGGTTGGTTTGGCAGAGTTTTTCAGGGGGTCTTTTGCTGCTGTGTTGGCTTTTGACGTCTAGGGCTCATTTCGGGTGCAGGGATTTGAGGGTCGCACAGGTTCTTGGCCGCCCATTCTTTATGCGCGTCTGCTCCTGTGCGTTCTTGTTGCCTTGGGTCGCAGGTTGCATCCTGTTGTCTCGGCTTCGCGTTGCGGAGTTTGTGGCGGCCGCCTCCCGGGTTAGCCCTTTCTTTTCCTTCTCTTTGGGTATGAAGCTCCAGGGAGCCGTAGGGGCTCCCCACAGAAAACCAGCGTTGAATGTAATGAAACGCCATTTTCTGGGTGAGCCCCGGAGGCTCCCTGGCAACCCTCCCTCCCACCGGTCGGCGGTTTTTGCGCGTTGGTTGAAGCTTAACTTCTGAACTGTAGCTTGGCAGCCGGCGTGGTAGGTCCGGGGCTCCCCCTTACCCCTCTCGGGGCGGGGAGGGCTGCACCGACAATCGGCGCGGCAGTAAATGTTTGCTTGTTTGCTTGTTTCCTTGGGATTGTAGGGAGTTTCTACCTCTCTGTTCGGTTTTTTGTTTTATTTTTTTACCATGTGGGGTTTGTTTTGTCATGCCTACCTCTCTGGGTGCCTGACCCCGGTCGATGGCAGATAAGGAAAACCCCAACCACAAGAGGGTTTTCCAGTGCCATTGCTCCCTGAAACCTCTCTGAAGGGGCCAGGTTCTGGCGCTGGTCCCTGGTAGGCCTGAACTCCTTAGCTAATGTCTCGGTCTAATATAACATACATTAGCCCGATAAGCTCCAGGGAGCCTCCGGGGCTCACCCAGAAAATGGCGTTTCATTGCATTCAACGCTGGTTTTTTAGTAGGGTAAAAATATATAGGTACAGTATATAATATGATAATGCATTTTTATTGTGTACAAGAAAAGAAGGACACTGACACAAACGCGTCCTGAAGGTCACCTCTTGCAAAGCATCCAATGCTCCAACACACTGGGGTTGGTCCTATATAGTACATTGAATCAAGGTTGTACTGTATTGTACAAGCGGGAAACAAGGCCCGCAAGACCCCGAGTCGATGGTGTTCCCGACCCAACAGGCAGCGTTACGGATGATCATTTCCCTGATGCAGGGGCAACAAATAACCTTCAAGGCGAGAGCAGGCTCATAAAAAGTAGCCATTGTACGACCGAGCCCACAGGGGGTTTTCCAGGGCCCGTAGGGTGAATTAGCGCTACGGGAAGCCCAGGCACTGGGGTCAGCTAAGCCAGTAGAACCTTGTCAGGTAGCATGCAAACTGACCTCCAGTAGCAGCTGTGAAATCTTGGGGGCAACAGAGGTGCACTACCACCTAGGCTTGCCTAATAAGAAGCTAAAAAGACCTCCTCTGTCTAAACAAAGCAAAAATTCCAGAGAATGAAAAGAAAATTAAAATAAAAAACCCCAAAGACACAACTAACAAACTGGCCGTCAGAGAGAGATATATCGGCCGCTGCATTGAAGTAAGCTAGCTGTTCCCTACCCACGTAATAACCAACCCATCCTCCGAATAGACATTCCGTTTTAATATTAAATGTAATAAGTACATTCCTGACTTTTTGCATAGTGCATAAATACACTTAATTGTGCTGTTACATTTACCTTCCCATATATTCTCCTCATTTCCTGTTAACACACTCAAAATTTTTAGGTTGAAGTTTTTGTGTTAAATTCTATATACACAAGTTTTAAATATAAAGAATATCTTTTTTAGTTTTATTAAACAGTAGAGATTTTATACAAAATTTGAAAATATCCTGAGTTACTTTATAATTTATTGAAAGACTTTAGTTTTGTTTTATTAGTTTTATAAAATTGTAATATCAATATAGCTATAGGTTAAGTACTAATTGTAATTAAGAAACTATAAATGCTATTTACATCCTTGTCCTCCTACACTCCCAAAGTTAGGTTAGGTCGTGGTTTTCTATACAACTTTTCAGGAAAACTTTTCAGGTTTTCAGATGCTGGCGATTAAGTGTATTTATGTACTATGCTGATAGTCAGGATTGTACTTATTACATTTAGTATTGAAATGTACTGTCTATTCGAAGGATGGATTGGTAATAACACTTCCCTCTCCGGGGCAAGACGGAAAGCCCTAGGGCCCCGTCGTACCCCAAGGGCGAAGACATTATCAAGCACCCGACCCCAGTTTCATGTTTCCCGGTGGAAGACTGTGATCTTATTGACCTCTGTGTAGTTTCTTTCTTAGTAATCAAATTTTACTCGTCTGAAATGATGTGGGTGGTATCTTGATCGACAGGGATCAGTTCACCCAGGGCAATCCCGAACTCCAGATGTGTTGCAGTGGGAACAAGTGGCCGAGTCGGTGCAGACTGTGAGTTGTCTTTGATATTTAGTGAAGTATTGGGAACAATGTCCGTCTGTTAAGTCTTGTTATAATTGAAGCCTGTGTGGAAGTCTGCCTCTGTGTTGCTGGAGACCCCTGCCAGTTTGTTGCTGGAGACCCCTGCCAGTGTGTTGCTGGAGATCCCTGCCAGTGTTTTGCTGAAGACCTCTGCTAGTGTGTTGCTGGAGAGTAGAAATGGTGTTTTAGCACCATGATAACACTGTGTAGGACTGACACATGATTTACTGATAAAGGTGAACTCGCCGGTGTGAGGACTATAGAAGACAGACTCAGGGAGGGAACCTCGGTGGGGGGTGTTCGATAGAACACAGAAGTGGACTCACCTGGAAAAAAGATTCTGAAGTTTTATAGTGTCCTGTGCGAAAGTGACACCTGCAGTGTTATATCATGTACATACGTGTATATATAATTTAGAACTACACATTGTGATGGTTCTGTTTAGTGTTGTTAACCCCCCTTTTCCTTTAAATTGACTATTACTGCCAGCTCATACTAACTTACATATGACACAGGGGTCAAGTAAGAAAAGGCACTAAGGCCCAATATACAGTTTGATAAGTAAAGAACCCAGTTACTGGCTAAGTGAAGCCATAACAGGGAGTGATTCCCAAACATCCCAGGAACGATAACCCTGACACGCAAGGGTTCCCTAGGTACTCTAAAGAGTACCTAGGGAAGGTCACCCTAGGCGTATGCTGCTCCTGTACACTAAGACACCTGGCCACCACACCACACACACAGCTGGAACTGCCACACAGGGCAGAAATCCAAAACAGGAACTTGAGGCAAGAGGTGACTGAACTGACCACCAGCACATCAGTTTAAGAACTGGCATGGTGAGCTGCCAGCTCCCACTCCTCCCCTATGGGGGGAAGTGGGTAGCACTAACAAGTGGAAGTGCTTGTCGCATGAAGGGTTGCTTGTTTGTTTTTTTCTAGGGTAGTTATTTTGATCTTTTGGGATGTAGATTGCACAGGTTAACTAGACAGTGGTCTGTTTTGATTGACCTACCTTTCTGGGCCCTTTCTCATTTGATGGCAATTATGACATACTGTTCTTTAAATGTAAAGTGCTCATAGGCCATTGCTCCCTGTCCCTTTTTGAGGGGACCAAGGTTCTGGCTCGTTGTTTCTGGTAGGCATAAGAATTCCTGTGACTGATGACCCCAAACTAATATAGCAGACATCATTTTAGATAGCTTCAGAACCCCACAGAGCTCCTGAGCTCCCCACAGAAACTGTTTATATTCTCACTTCTATCATCATTTCATGAATAAGCCATAAGTGACCACCTTTACTTTTTCAAACTTGAATTTCTTGCACAAGTACCTTGAACATCAATGAGTAAATTTCATGCATAATAAAAAAAAGTGCTCATTATTCACTGAACTGCGCAACGCACCTGCAGGCGCTCGACAGGGGGTGCACAACGCGCCTCCAGGATCTTATATTTTTAGAGTAAGATTCAAAACCCCCACGGCTATATGGGGTTCACATCAGCTTCCTCAGGGCTCTTGTAAACAGATGCCATTTTAAACAAAAATTGTGGGCAACAATCCTGGGTGTGAGTACTCTGAGAGTGCCTCCTCGTTGTTGGACTAGTCAACCAGGCTGTTGGACGCGGCTGCTCTCAGCCTGACGTACGAATCACCGCCTGGTTGATCAGGTATCTTTTGGAGATGCTTATCCAGTTCTCTCTTGAACACTGTGAGGGGTCGGCCAGTTATGCCCCTTATGTGTAGTGGAAGCGTGTTGAACAGTCTCGGGCCTCTGATGTTGATAGAGTTCTCTCTCAGAGTACCTGTTGCACCTCTGCTTTTCAACGGGGGTATTCTGCACATCCTGCCATGTCTTCTGGTCTCATGTGGTGTTATTTCTGTGTGCAGGTTTGGGACCAGCCCCTCAATTATTTTCCAAGTGTAAATTATTATGTATCTCTCCCGCCTGCGCTCAAGGGAGTACAGATTTAGGCTCTTTAGTCGGTCCCAGTAATTTAGATGTTTTACTGAGTGGATTCTAGCAGTAAAGGATCTCTGCACGCTCTCTAGGTCAGCAATTTCTCCAGCTTTGAAAGGGGCTGTCATTGTGCAGCAGTACTCCACTCTAGATAGCACAAGCGTTTTGAAAAGTATCATCATCGGTATAGCATCTCTAGTGTGAAAAGTTCTTGTTATCCAACCTGTCATTTTTCTTGCAGTTGTGACGGCTACTTTATTGTGTTCTTTAAAGGTAAGGTCTTCCGACATGAGTACACCCAGGTCCTTTACATTGCCTTTTCGTTCTATGTTATGATTTGCCTGCATTTTGTACGTGGTTTCTGTTTTTATATTTTCAATTTTTCTGTACTCAGTACTCAGTACTCAGAGCCTTAGTACTGAGTGAACAACCAAGGCTGGTGCACGCAGCGAGAGCTCGCAGCACTGTTGTTCAGCTTGTGACCACAGCATCGCCTAATGCTGTGGTCAAAGTATATATATAACTGGTATTATTTAGCCATGATAGTATTACAGAAGAACCTGAATGTGATAATGACTGTGCACAATGTTCAAATATCAGTGCATCAATGCTGTTCACCATGTTCACAGCACTAGCCACAGAACCACAGCATTATTTTGTCCATCTAGGAATCGTCAAACGACTTTATATGTTACTTTACAAAATAAACTTGTGGTCAGTTATTCATTTACAGGATTTAGTGACCAGGATTTTGATAATAGCAGGATTGTGGTGATAATTAGCGCTATGTGTAGTATTGTGGGAGAAGGTGTGGTGAGGGAGGGAGGGAGTGAATCCAGATAGTGTCACTGTGTGTGTGGCAGCCACTCTTGTTTTGCTCACCATACTAGCTTAGTGGTTCGCTATGGTGAACACATATGTACATGGGTATATACAGTGTGTGTATATAGTGTTATAACAGCAACAGGAGTATGTTGGGAGGAGCCATTTTGGTGAGGGAGGTGGCATCGTACTCGTAGCATCATCTGCTGGCTGCTGTGTGATTTCTCATGCAGTGTATGGTGGCCACTATGCTGTTTGGACACAATACTGGCTTACTTGCATAATTATGGTGAATAAAACATGTAGATATGTATATGTAACGTGTGTAAATAGTGTAATAAAAACAATAACAGTATGGTGGGAGGAGCAATGATGGCTAGTAATGTGCAAGGAGTAAGCTAGGTGTTGGAGGAGTGAGGGAGGGCTGGCTGGGTGTGGCAGCTCACACTCGTGGAGTTCTGAGTGTATTGATGGTGAATGTATATAATATGTGATAGTGTATAGTGTGTAAATATGTTGTAAATATACTTAAATGAATATGAAACATTGGATATATGAGCAATATATGTGGACACATTTGAGACACACATAACACAGTGTCTTGGGATAGTATGGATGTTCTACTATCATAATATTGTGTACATGTTCATTATACATAGGATTGGCAAGAAAAAACAAAACAAATGTATTTGGAAATGTACGCAAAAAATGGACAAAAAAAATTTGTGGCAACTCATTCATGTTGAAGCTGGCGGGCGACTGGGTTCGGAAGTCTACGTCACTGGCAACTGCCAAATTATGACATCACACGCCATTTTCTGGACCCCATTGCGGCCAACGTAATTACAATTTTGATTCTTTTTTTACATATCTGTGATCAGGGAAGGGTATTTAACATTTTCAAAAGCAAAAAGATTTTTTTCCCGAGAATTTATTTCCTGTGCATAGAGGGGTGCCGTATTTGGAAGGCAAGCAGCACAGTGGTTAAGGGGCAAAATCCTTCCATAATGCTCTCTTTTTCTTTCATTTATTTTCTTAAAATATTTGTACTATTGCATTCTTCATTACAGTATTATTTTATTTTACCATTCTTAACCACCGTGCTGAGTGGAGTTTATTGAGAAATTCCCCCAGTGCGCATGAAATGAAGTGTTCCCAAAAAATTCTTTTTTCTTCGTAAAAGGATAAATTCCCTTCCCTGAACATGTCTATGTAAAAATAAGTACCAAATTCCACTTACTTTGGCTGTAGGGACGTGGACAAGATGCGCAGTGACGTCATCAGGGCCTGGTCGCCTGTGCGTGACTCGCCCAGACACGGTCGCGCGGGCTATTCAAGCACCGGGTGTTGCCACAAACATATTTTCAATTATTTGCTTTATGTATTTCCAATGCGGTTTTATTTGTTTTTTTATCGTATATGATGCATATTTGTGTCCTTTACAATATGTATACAGTAGAACGTTCATAATGTTCCATGGAACTGTGATACATGTGTCAGTAATGTGTCCACAATAAATGTTTATTGTCGCAATATTACCTGTTAAAAAATCACTAAAATTACAATATGTACAGTTTCACACACTATTTACACAGTAACGCACTGTATTACACAATCAGTACTTCGGAAGTGAATAATAATCAACGAAGTAGCCCATGGTACACAGCGCGACTTCGCTCTCAGTGCACCAGGTACAGATAAATTTTCGCTTCCTGTTTCTTCATTCTGTGTGCTTGCAAATAACGCACTCACGTACACCCTTGGCTTTAGTACTTGTAGGTTGTATGTAGCCAAGCTTGTAAAGCATAAGGCAGTATTGAAAATAACTATGAAAACACCACCATGGAAGCCGCTAACACTGTTCGTCTATGCTATTTGTATCAGATGCATCATCACTGAATGCAGAAAACGATTCATCTAAGTATTATCTAAATAAATAGCATAGGATTGCAAGGGTGACGCTCAGAGCTTCAACTGGATACGCTCGCTATATCGTCCTCATAGGTGCTGTATCACTTGCATCCGACCTTTGTGTTAGGTCCTTATTGCGCCTGGCTTCTCCAATATTATGAACCTTATGTTCTTCAAACAATAAGGTTTGAATTTCACCGACAGAGCATTAACTTTCAACACCACGTAGGACAGGTGTTTGGGAGCCAGAGTCGCGTGCGCCACCCATGGTTGCTCATTCAGTACTAACCCAGCCAGCAGCCCTAGGGCATTCTGGGATTTTTTCCCAAGATGGCTGCCTCTCACTGGAGGTCCTAAGAGTCTATTTCGTACACAACCAACCTCGTACACATTTAGAATTGGTTACGAAAAATCAAAACTAGTTTTCTCGGTTGGCGCAGTTTCCCACCGACCGAGAAAACTCGGTTGGCGCAGTTAAGTGGTTAAAAAGCATTTTGCTCACTTCCAAATTCTTCTGTTTCTGATTTATTTCTCCCATATTCCATACAGCAATTGGAATCTGCCTTGACCCCTGACCAGAGTTTATTTTTGGAAGCCGGGGCCCCAGCCTAATACCCCCATTGTATGCAAGGCTGATTGAACCACATAGTGGTGGGTGGTTCAATATAAAGCCTATTGTTTCCATATGAATATTTTTCATATTTACATATGTAAAACATACTTAACGAGTGACTTTCTTTAGCGTGGCTTTTGGTACTAGCCTTAGGTGATAGTTGTGTATTTCTTGGAGTGGCAGATTACTGCTGACATTTCTCTACATTAATGTACAAAAGTAACATTTCTGTAGTAGTCTGGGTTTTGACCATTTATTAAATACTGATAGTGTTTATATTAAAGTTTTCTTTTTTTCCCAGGTGATGAAATTACAAGAAAGAAAAAGGATGTATGAGGAAATGCTGAAGAAAGCAACTCTTGTTAATGACAAGCTGGATCAATTACTTGTCAGACAGTCAGAAAAGGACCAATTAGAATTAGTTAAAAGAAGGTATTTCTGGTGGGGAGCCCCTACGGCTCCCCGGAGCTTACTAGGCTGATATGCTAATGTCAGACTGGCATCAGCTATGTGTATGAAGTTCTTATGGACCTACTGGGGACCATGAGCCAGAACCTGGCCCCCCTCTAGAGAGGCAAGGGGAGCAATGGCCTATAGAAACCCCCATGTCATTGGAAGCATTCTATGTCTGCTATCGACCGGGTTAGGCACCCAGAAAGGTAGGCGTCCCAAAACAAACTCCTTTTCTGGTGAAAATTGCACCCAAAAAGCTGAACGAGAGGATAGAACTCCCCAAACAAAAACGAGCAAACTAGTATGACGTCATCCGTCGTTGCGCCGCTGTCTGCGCAGCCTCTTCCCCCCTCCCCGGGAGGGGGAAGGGGCAGCCCCAGACCTACCGCGGCGGCGATCCACACCCCAGTTCTTGAGGCTGATGCTATCGACTCGGTTGTGTGCTCTGGCTCCAGTATTTTTGTGGCGCTGTGCCATGTGTGTGGCTGCTGTACTCCAGGGGTGCGAGAGCCAGGAGTTATTCCTTAGTACTCGGGCTGCATGAGCCTAGGGTTCCCTTCCCTAGGTGTCTTGTAAGTACTGCCCTTGGAGCTTGGGGTTACCTTCCACAAGTTCCTCAGGGTCTGCCTCTGTGTGTCCATTTTACTACTCAGTTTCTCAGCCGCTCTTTGGGTACTTGGGGGTTTTGTCTTCCCTAGTTAACCTTAGGGTAAGAGGCAGTTTTCGCACTGGTAGGGGCGCAGGGTGCAGTGCAGCTAGTTGTCACCTATCACAGCGGCTGGCACTGTTCATTGGGGTACTTTATCCTCTTGCGGGATTTTGTTTTAATTTTTACCTTGGTGGGGGTTCTGCCCTATTTGCCACTGGTGTTTGGCCTCACTCTGATACTTGGTGGTGCCCCCTGCCTGAGTTTACCTGTGTGTGAGTCCTCTTCAACTAAACGCTCAGGACCCTGGGAATCCCCTAGGGGACGCGTGGGTCTGATGGATGTGACCCCGGGGTCCCCCCTCACTTCATGTGAGTTTGAGGGTTGTTTGGTCCCCTTGCCTCAAGGCAACCCTCACTGTTTTTGCCTTTGTCATGCAGCCTGTTGGGTCGGTGACACTTTCGACCCTGAGTCCTGTAATTACCTAAGTGTAGTTACAGGATGAGAGCTACGCTCATGGTGTCCCGTCTTCCCAGCACTCTTTGTCATATAACGCTTTGAAACTACTGACGGTCTTGGCCTCCACCACCTTCTCACTTAACTTGTTCCAACCGTCTACCACTCTATTTGCGAAGGTGAATTTTCTTATATTTCTTCGGCATGTGTGTTTAGCTAGTTTAAATCTATGACCTCTTGTTCTTGAAGTGCCAGGTCTCAGGAAATCTTCCCTGTCGATTTTATCAATTCCTGTTACTATTTTGTATGTAGTGATCATATCACCTCTTTTTCTTCTGTCTTCTAGTTTTGGCATGTTTAATGCTTCTAACCTCTCCTCGTAGCTCTTACCCTTCAGTTCTGGGAGCCACTTAGTAGCATGTCTTTGCACCTTTTCCAGTTTGTTGATGTGCTTCTTAAGATATGGGCACCACACAACAGCTGCATATTCTAGCTTTGGCCTAACAAAAGTCATGAACAATTTCTTTAGTATATCGCCATCCATGTATTTAAATGCAATTCTGAAGTTAGAAAGCATCGCATAGGCTCCTTGCACAATATTCTTTATGTGGTCCTCAGGTGATAGTTTTCTATCTAGAACCACTCCTAGATCTCTTTCTTTATCAGAATTCTTTAAAGATTTCTCACATAATATATAGGTTGTGTGGGGTCTATGTTCTCCTATTCCACATTCCATAACATGACATTTATTAACATTAAATTCCATTTGCCAAGTGGTGCTCCATCTACTTATTTTGTCCAGGTCTTCTTGAAGGGCATGACAATCATCTAAATTTCTTATCCTTCCTATTATCTTAGCATCATCAGCAAACATGTTCATATAATTCTGTATACCAACTGGTAGATCATTTATGTACACAATAAACATCACTGGTGCAAGAACTGAACCCTGTGGTACTCCACTTGTGACATTTCTCCATTCCGATACATTGCCTCTGATTACTGCCCTCAATTTTCTATCAGTCAGAAAATTTTTCATCCATGATAGAAGCTTACCTGTCACCCCTCCAATATTTTTCAGTTTCCAGAATAACCTCTTATGTGGAACTCTGTCGAAAGCCTTTTTTAGATCCAGATAGATGCAGTCAACCCAACCATCTCTTTCCTGTAATATCTCTGTGGCTCGATCATAGAAACTGAGTAAATTCGATACACAGGATCTTCCAGATCGAAAACCATACTGTCTGTCTGATATTATATCATTTCTCTCTAGGTGTTCTACCCATTTAGTTTTGATTAGTTTTTCCAATACTTTCACTATTACACTTGTCAATGATACAGGTCTATAATTGAGGGGGTCTTCCCTTTTGCCACTTTTGTAGATTGGAACTATGTTTGCCTGTTTCCACACGTCTGCTACGATTCCTGTACACAGGGATGCCTGAAAGATCAGGTGAAGTGGAATGCTGAGCTCAGATGCACATTCTCTCAGAACCCATGGTGAAACGCCATCTGGGCCAGCTGCTTTGTTCTTACCGAGCTCCTTGAGCATTTTTTCCACTTCGTCTCTAGACACCTCTATGTGCTCTATGTTGTTCTCTGGAATTCTTATTGTATCTGGTTCCCTAAAGATTTCATTTTGTACAAACACACTTTGGAACTTTTCGTTTAGTGTTTCACACATTTCCTTTTCATCTTCTGTGAATCTATTTCCCATTTTCAACCTCTGAATATTATCCTTTACATGCAATTTGTTGTTTATGAATTTATAGAGTAGACCTGGTTCTGTTTTACATTTGTCTGCAATCCCTTTTTCAAAATTTCTTTCTGCCTCTCTCCACTGCCGTGTAGTTGTTTCTCGCATCTTTGTATCGCTGGTATGTTTGGGGGTTCGGCCTCTTCCTGTATTGATTCCATTTTTGTGTCTTTTGGTCTCTAGCCCTCTCGCAATTTCTATTGAACCAATCCTGTTTCCTAGTTCTGCATCTCTGTTTTGGTATAAATTTTTTTGTGCCTTTATCATATATTTCACAAAACTTGACATACATCTCATTCACTTCCTTGCCTAGCATCAAGTCTGTCCAATTATACTCACTAAAAAAATGTCTAAGGTCACCATAATGTCCTCTCCTGAAGTCTGGTTTTTCAACTGCTTCAACCTCCTTATTTTCTTTCAGCTTATAACGCATTGCATACTTTATTCCCAAAAAGACATGGTCACTTTTACCCAAGGGAGGAAGGTACTGAATGTCAAATATCTCTTCCTCCTTCCTGGTAAATATCAAATCTAGCATGGAGGGAACGTCCCCTTCCCTCATTCTCGTAGCTTGTTTAACATGTTGATACAAGAATGTTTCCAGGATGAGGTCTACAAATTTACAGGTCCAAAAATCTTCTGTTTCAGCTTCATATGCTTCCCAGTCTGTGGATTTCAAGTTGAAGTCACCGACTATCAACAGTCGTGATCTATCGTTATCCGCTCTCGCTATAATCTCTCATTATTGTTATAAGACCTTCACGTTTACTATCTAGCTCCTCCTTTGACCATGTGCTGCTTGGCGGTGGACTATATGTATTTATTATCATTAGTTTATCATCCTCATGGCAGATCTCTAGTGCTATTATGTCAACTTCTTGTGGATTGGCAGTCATTATTTCGTTCACCTTTAGGTGTTCTTTTACCAGCACAGCAACGCCACCGCCTTTCCTAATTTTTCTGTCCCGTCTCCAAATTGAGTAGCCCCTTGGGAATATGACCTCATTTAAAATTACATCTTCAAGTTTTGTCTCCGTGAGTGCAACAATGTCTGGTGTCTGCAGCTGTATTACATCACTTAACTCCAGTATCTTCGATCTCACTCCATCTATGTTGGTGTATGCAATCTTCAGGAACTTGTTCCCCCTCTTCTTATTCTTCACTCCCCGTCTCTCTATTGATTTTGTTGGTTTGCCTTTATGTACCACTTTACTGGTTTGCCTACCCCTATCACTTTGTAGAAAAAGAATTTATTTCTTCTTCATTCCTGCTCTCATTTAAATGTTTTGCCTCGGCGAGGTTCAGTTTCAGCTTCTCTCTATCTTCTTTTGAAAGATCTCGTCTTAACGACCACCCTTTCCCATCCTCATCACTTTGCAATTTTCTAGCATTCCTTAGTACTTCTTACATCTGTTTGGCACCGTTTAGGGTGATCTTCAAAGGTCGATCTTTCCCTTTTACGTACCTGCCTATTCTCCTGTAGTCGCACACTACAGGAGAATGACAGGAGTCCTGTGAGTACTGTTGCATGCTGGTGACTCAATTTTCCCAATCTTGGATGATAATCTTTGGGTACAGGCTGCACAGGCGTTGCATTCTAGGTTTCGGTTGTTGCAACGCGCTAGTTGGTTGCTCACCCTGATGCCTCGCGGCCGCCCCGTTTTGCTTATAGGGACCTGGACTTGGGGGTGGGGGTTGCTTCAACCCTGGTTCAGTCCGCAGCTCCTGGTCCTTCCCCTCCTGTTGTTCATTCTGGTCCCCCTCCTCTGCTTCCGGCCCCGAAACATCTGAGGGTTTCGGAGTCGGGGCAGGGGTTAGTTGGTCTTGAGACTCGGGCAGCCTCGGGGAATGCCCCTTCCGGTGTGGCGACGGAGGCATTCGAGTCTCCTCCTCCGGCCGGAGCCTCTGGGTCTGACCAGTGGGCCTCATTCTATCCGGATTCTACGGCTGCGCTGGCCTTGTCTAGTGGGGTCGGTGCTTGGGGGGAGGACTCGGCCCCGGGTCCTGCTGAAGAGGACCCTGGGGCTGGGGGGGAGCTGACTTGGGGGCCTTGGGCCCTGCTGGACCCCACCTGGGATTTTCTACCCTCAGAGCGGGGCTTACTGATACAAGGAGTGGGGT